TTAATCTTTGTTTCGCCTAAAGGATGGCCTGCAGGTAAGAACATGCAATGATAGTCAAATCAAATGTTTTTTCCTCCATGCTTTAAAGTGAATTCATTTGTATATTCCATACAATATGGACAAGTTAACTTCCTAGAAGTATTTTAACCAGAGGGCATACCATAAACAGGAAAGTTATCAATTATCTAAAGTAATGTGACCCTCATTATAAAATTTTATTTGGTGGAAATATCATATGCTGCCAGTACACCGCCGGTAAGATTGAAGACCGGCGAATACAAGACCGTCGCTAATACCGGCGGTCCAACGTTACGAAAACCTTGGGTATGCCGTTGGTACGAGCAGGCGGCCACACCGCAGGATGAACCGCCGGTAATATCAGCGGTCCTTTAACCGCCGGTAAGCGGCGTTTTTCATGTAGTGCTTTTCCCATAATAAATATAAATCATCAATTAACGGTCATAGGAATAAATTTTTTATTTTAAATTATGCAGTCCTGGAATTATTATCGTTAGAAATATATAAGAAACAATCATACACATCTCTCATGAAAGATTGTATAGGGTGAGTATCACTGGCCAGCATGACTAAGGTGAAGCAGAGTGACTAAAAGGAGAAAAATCATATGCGCATAAACCTAATCTAACATTCCTTGCTTCTATGGCAAAGGCAAGATGTGTACAATCAAAGTGTTTCCGGGCTTTTACTTTTGACGGATGTGTAATCACACCTTCTTTCGATATGTACTCATTATGACATCTCATATGTGCAGCAGATATCATAGAAGCATATAACCGTTGTAATCTAAAAAATATATGAATGTAAAACATCATCTTGAATGGTGCATCCTTCTACTTTCTTTTTGACACATTTTTAGGTTTAAATCTTGGTGCATTGTAGTGACGTCATATAACTTCTAACTAATCATCCTAAAAATATAACATGCATCCATTGACACAACAATCTATTTTTATGTATGTTAAACTAATTTTGGAAACCAACTTTTTAGTCCGATATAAATATACATGAATCATGTTATCTATCTGATTGATTTCCTTAAAGAGGCCAATAAATTGATTAAAACATTCACGGGGGGACATTATATTCTGCCTTAATACTTAACATATTAACAGCAACAGATAACTCCGAATGAGTTGTGCACCCCTTTCATATTGATTATCCCAAACAGTTACATCATTAGGACATAAAAATGTTGTGCCTCGTTATTTGGTGACTATACTGTGTATTATTCAGAGAGCACTCCTGTGGCATCATGAACTAAGTCCTCAAGACCAGGTCAGAAATTATCTTCCACAGCTATATTAGAGAATTTGTCGATGGACCACACCGAGAATTTAAACGTGGCTCGTACTCACCAGGACAAGTCAAATACCAATATTCCGGTATGAACCCTCTACGTTATAAATCAATAGTTATATTATTTGGACTTAGGTGCACCTGATTTTTATGTTTGGAATATGGGCAGCGAAACTGTCCATCTAAGATGAAACTTAGTATTTGACTAGCTGTTTGAATGAAATAGTTCACCTCTTTAATAAACTCATATATTAATGTCTTTCATCCTTGTGACAATTGATTATACATCAAACTTCTTTGATTTTCTAATATCCATCTGTGATAAAAACTATGTAAAAATATAGGGATTTAATAAGAACTTTTACAACAACAACAACAATATTAAAGGGGCTTTTCTATTAAATAAGTGTTGAAAATCATTTCAAAGTGCCCAATATAAGAATTAACACATCGTCTTAAACTATAATCAACATTGTTTTTAGCATTTAACACATCGTATAATATCTTTAATGATAATAACTTTTAATTTACAAGAATTATAAGAGGGATATCATATACTTTCTTCTTACTGCAAATCTTTTATTATAACTTTGGTAGCGTCATATTTTATCTAAAAAATTAATTTTAAAAAATAAAGAAACTTTACTCATGAAAGTTTTGAAGGGTTGATTTTTGATAAACATGCCATCAAATATACATAAAAATTTGATGATGCATGTAGATAATCAGTTTTATTGAACCTATAGAGTTAATTACTAATTAAAAAAAATTATAAGAAAATAAACATTTAAAAAAAAAATATAACTAAAATTATATCAATCCATCATTTTTTTTGTTGCAGGCAAATCTGAATTGATTTCTACAATTATTGATATTTTGGATAACAACGTGAAACCAAAGATTTTAATATGCAGTTGATGTTAAAGTAATGTAATATTTTAATTAATATAAAATGCATAAGACAGACGTACCATTAAAATTTTTTGCAATAACTCCCTTTGGAAAAATGATGGGTTTTCCATTTATCATATCTTTTGATTGTTTTCCCTCTTTTGTTGCTAGTGATCCTTATAAAATTAAAGTAATTATTTCAGATATATAATATACAAATTAATTTAAAATAATATTAATAAATAAAATTTCTAATAAATTTTTGATCTCTAATATATTATGAAATTTGTATATTATTTCATTAAACATAATGACATATATCTGTGAGCTTTACATATAAAATATGTAAAAAATTAATATATATTAAAATTTAATAGACTATAAATTACAAAAGAAACATCAATAATATTAGTATTTATAATCATAATTAAATATTAAAAAAAATACTTTAGTATTCATAAAAGTAAGTTTCTGAATTTTTTCTTGTTCAAATTTGAAATTTATTGCAATATCAATTTCAGTTAAAATAATAATAATAGTATAATAAATTTGATGCAGAGTTAAATTCTTGATGAGAGTTGATAACTCCATTGATCTTTAACTAACATTAAAACAATCAAATTTAATAAAATAATTAATAAAGAAACTATAAAATATATTATATAAAAAATTTATTAAAGTATAATTAAAAATTGAAAATTTGTATGAAAGTACCTCTTGATTATTCTGAAGATTTGAAAATATCTTTTTATATAATATTTTTTTATAAGGATCTTAAATTGAAGTATATATATTATGTATAATAAAGACTTTTATTTGTCTCATTGAAATGCTTCTTGCTAATGCTACATATAATTTTTCATATGAAAAAACATGATATGAAAGATGAATCCCAACATTAGCAATTGTCTAACCTTGTGACTTGTTGTTTGTCATTGCAAAACACAAATGTATAGGAAATTGATTCATTTTAAATTTGAATGGTAGAGATTAATCGTAACTTGTACACAATAGAATTCGATGTATCAAAATTATTTCTCTAGAGAATTGCCCAAATATAAACAATGATAAATTTATTTTTAAATGACTTGCTAATCATTCGTGTCTAATTACACAAACCATTTGATGGATCCAAATTCCTTAATAACATGATTGGACAATTTTTCTTGAGAACATGCTGATGTGAAGGAAGTCTATTCGGCATCAACGAGTTGAGAAATTCAATTTGATAAAGATTTGAGATATCATCAGTAACACTATCAAAGGTAAAATAAACAAACTCTTCTCCTGAAAAGCATTTAATATGTTTTTGATTAAGTTTATCAATAAACTCATCTTTTTGTTAATAATATAATTCTTTCCCTAACATGTTCTGAAGATGTAACATTTTATTGTAGAAATATTATGTTTATTAATAAATCTTAAGAATTCTCATCATTTGAATATTTCATTATCATGTTATTATGAATATGCACTAATTCATCTTTAGTTTCTTCTTCATCTCCATTTTCAATTCTAAGTATGAATTCACATAATAAATGATCCGTTCTTATTCTTATATTTTCCTTTAATCAGAAAACTTTCATGTCTGATCATAAGTATGATTTTATCAAGCTATAATTAATCATTTAAAATTTAGATGTAAGTCTTATTATAGGTAACTTATAAAAAATTACCTCCAAATACAATAATTTTACCATCAAAATAATTAGAGTTATTCATAATATCTCTCAGAGTCCTATCTAAAGATTCTATTATGTCCCAAATTATAATACTTGATTTAATCATTAACTAAGCAAGTCCACTTTGGCTAGTAATTGGACACATGCTGCTTTCCGTCAAATTTATATTTATTTTAAATTTTGAATGTGCATCTCAACCTCCAGGCATAATTGATGCTACTACTCCTAATGTTGGCTTTGCTAATGTTATATAGCCATTACTTCTTAATGTTACAAGTATAACACGATATAAATATGTTTTTCTTGTACCTTCAGAACCATCAATAAAAAATATACAATTTTATTTTTTATTAAAGTGACTAATAATTTCATCGTATGCATTTCTTTGTTCAATATTGAGACAATGGATATTATTTATATCTTAAATAGGTGTAACAACATTTAACTCTTCAATCATTTCTTTATTATGAACATCATCATTATTTTCAATAAGTCATTTTCTATACTTGATATTTTTGACAAATCAAATCCATCAAAACAATTCCCCATTCTTTCAAGATATAAAGTGATACCTGATTTTTACCATGCATTCTTCATCAGTAATTATACTATTATTTTGATAATCATGAGATAAATTATTATAGTAATCAATCAACAATAGGTGAAAATTAGTTGGCTCACAATAAATAAAAATAATTACGAATAATTGTTTGAATACATATGCCATTTCATAAAATAATGTATCATTTAAATATTCTGATATATAATTATTCATTTCTAATAGAGCCTTTAAATATTCATTTATGAGTACAGGCGACACTCCGGATACTTTTATCTTCATGTTTTACCTAGTTTTTTCTATCATTTGAATGGCGTTATTTTTTTTTTATTTGGATAATTTTTTTTGGGACATTTAGGCCATTTAAGTCAAACTCACAAACACAACGCATACACGTAGACTCGAACCCTGAACCTCTTAGTTGGAAGCCTAAGCTCTCAACCAATATTCAAAATTTTTCTGTTTGACTTCGTTTTTGATTCACCTCATGCAGCACCGTTACTGTAACGGTTTCCCCTGCCCCCCGCGTTAAAAAAAGAAAAAAAAAAGAAAAAATTGTGAATGATCCGCCATGTCGCATTAACCTAACAAACCCCGCCGGCGCATCCGCACGAAACTCAGGGGTTGTCCCTCGGTGTCTTCTACCCGACTTATGCCGAGATTAGCTTGTCCAAATAAAACGCAAGGTTCCTCTCTTCCGCTTTCCCTTTCTTCCAAGTCTTCCACATTTATCGTCGATTCTAACAGATTCTATAACTAGTTGGAATTTGGAAAACCTTTAATCCTCTAGAATTCTGAGAATGGCGGAAAACTCAGCTTCCTCCTCTCCCCCGAAGCCCCTCCAACCTCCAAATTGCGGTGGCGACCAAATTTCCCCTTCCAACCCCCAAAATTCCACTCTATCCTTTTCCGTAGTTGCTCCCTCCCCTTCAGCCATCGATCACCCTCAGGTCTCTTCTGCCCAGCTCGTCCAATCCCAGCCCCAAATTACACCCTCTGGAGCCCTAGATTTCCCGCCGAAACCGTCGGCGACGTCTCAGCAGCAAAGCAGTATTATGTCCCCTTCTTCCAACTTCCAGATGCAATCGGCTCTCCAGCGATCGGGATCCATCTCACGAATGAACCAGCTACAGCAGCAGTTTGGCACAGCTATGGCAACCGGGGGCCCAATTAGGCCGGGTATGTACGTTGGGCAGATGAGCTTTGGCGGGCAGCAGCAGCAGCAGCAGTTGGGCGGTGCAGTGGCTCGGCCAGGGATGATGAGTCAGGCGGGGCAACTCTCCATGCTTCCTAGTCAGGCTGCTGCACATTTTAATATACAGTCTCAGATGCTGACTCAGGTATATATTTTTTTCTTTGAAAGTTGTGTGTGGGTGACGGCTCGGGTACTTTAGCTTCTCCATTTCAGAGTTTTTCCGCTGCATCTCTCATTCCTCGGAAGTTTGATAACATATAACTAATATATGTGTTCTTTAATATGATTTATTTAATCTTGATAATTTATTACTTTTAAGATTTCAAAATTTTAAGTTGCGCTCTGAGCTAGCAGGAGTTGTTTCCAATATTTTTCTTATGAGTACGTCTGGATGAATGTTAGTATGTTATAGAGAGCTAAGGGTTGCATTGCTTTTAGGGAATGGAAATTCTCTCCGTTTGGATTGAATGAAAATTGTAGAACGCATGAAGTAATTATCTTTGCTAGAAGGCTTTTTTTTTTTATGCTCATGGTTGATATTTTTCCCATCCACTTCTATAGCCTAGACAGAAGACAGCGATGCAAGGTGCTCAGTTCCATAATGCAAATTCATCAGGACAGGCAATGCAAGGTATGCAGGCCTTAGGTGTTATGAGCCCCCTTACTTTAAATTCACAGCTTAGAGCTAATGGGCTTCTCTCATATGGGCAACAACGTCTTACTCCTGGTCAACTCCGACAGCAGCTGTCCCAACAAGGAGCTCTCACTTCTCCTCAGGTAAGCTTCTAGTTTTAGCTCAAATTGATAGTAAATATTTGATTATTTGCTTATTTATACATTTATGATTTGTCATCTTTTTCTTTTATTTTACTACAACCATTTTTCCTTTAGACGCGGTGTTTAAAGCCTTTCATCATTGTACTTGGATGAATTTCTTAACATCTTCAATTAACTTAAAATTGGAAAGCTCCACACATAAAACACATGCATATGGTACATTATTTCATGACCAGGAGATCAATAGATATGATAACATGAGGGCTAGTTGAGATGACTTGGAAGCTGAGAAGGGGACTCTAGAGAGAATCCAAGGTGTTGCTTACAAGAACTTGAGCCAAGAGCATCTGTATTGAGAGAAGTCTAGGTTGATAGGGAACTTAAAAGAGCTCTTGAAAAGAAGCCCATGGAACCGAGCAACTTCGTGACTGCACTCTTTGCCAAACAATAATAATGGTAGCTTGATACCAATAGTCCATGATTTTGGTGCCAAAATCTGCACCACCTCATAACTCTTCTAATTAGAGTCATGATTGCCATGCATTAAATGTCACTTTTTGTAACCGGCATTCTTTATCTATATAGAAGGGATGCCGAGGGAGGAATATAAGTTGACCTCTTTGGTGTAAGCTTTGAAATTAGAATCTTAAAGGGGTTGTCCTTAGCCCCTAGGGAAATCTAGGAATTAGGGATTAGAGAGAGACTCTAGAAGTTTGAAAGCTAGAGAGAAAAGGAATTCAAGGAAGCATTCTATTCCTTCTTGTATCTTCCCCAGTTTTTTTGTTATTGAAACATGATCAGTTATTACCCCACAATTAATAATTTTGATTAACAATATCAATCTATTGAGGCATGCTTGATGTGTTTATTAGATGTTTTCTTTTTTTGTTTCTTGCTAGTGCTAACAAATCAAGTTATTAGTTTTGGAGTTATGATAGGAAGTAGTTGAGTTGTCAAGTAACCCTAAGGTAATACTTGAGTTCGCAAGCAAACCTAATCGAAATTAGTGAGAAAACAGAACGCAAACTGCTGTTAACAGCAGAAAATCAGCACTTTGCAGCAAATTTGTTGGGAAAAATAGTAGAAAACTGTGAGAAAACGAAAGATTCCACTAGTAGAAGCAGGAAAAATAGCAAAGATATACATTTCTTCAATTCGAGAAGAAGAAACAACTCTCAGATTCTCTAGCCAAGCCTAGAGCCCAAGAACACAAACCCTAGATCTCAAATCCTCTTCAAATTTAAGATGAAAACCTAATTATAACATTAACCCTTAATTAAAGGTAAATGAGAGGTACAAATTCCCTAAACAGCCCATAATTCAAAATTTTCCCTCCAAACAAGCATTACTCAAGGTGTGGGGCCCAAAGGAGTGGCCGACCCCCCTCTCTCTCCTTGCTTGGGCCGGCGGTGGTAAACCCAAACCGGTTCACTAGGGACCGGTTCAAGCAAAGCAGCCAGCCCCTTCTGGGCCGTCGTAACATCACTCCCCTCCCAAAAACTCACCTTGTCCTTAAGGTGAAAGTAAGGTAACCGGTGATTCACACTCTCATAAGCAAGTAGTCTGGTAGTTGGGAAGATCCTTCTGATCAACACTTCTTTGTTTCCCTTTTTATCCAACCTTACTCCTTCCAACTCCATGACTATCTCCAATCCTCTGTCAGTGTGGCTGGAAGCTCCAGCTAACTGCATGCTCCCCTATAGTTCTCCTCAACTGTGACACATGGAATACAGGGTGTATGGTAGCAGAGGAGGGTAACTTCAGACGATACGTCACTGCTCAAATCTTTTCTAAAATCTCATAGGAACCAAAGTACCTCGGCGCCAATTTCTCGTTCCTCCTGTTAGCCACTAATTTCTGCCTATAGGGCCTCAGCTTCAAGAACACCTTCTCCCCCACTTCATACTGTATGTCTCTCCTGTGTGTATCTGCTCGCTTCTTCATGATTTGTTGTACCCTCCCTAGATGTTTCTTTAACTCCTCCAACACCTAGTCTCTCTCCTCATACTCTATGTATTGTTTAACTGAAGAGACCGGTGTGTTTCCCCTCTCATAATGCATTAAGTGTGTGTGTGTGTGTGGGGGGGGGGGGGGGGGGGGGGGGGGGGGGGGGGGGGGGGGGGCTCTTCCATAGAGCACCTTGAAAGGAGTCATTTGGGATGCAGAATGGTACGAAATATTATACCAATTCTCCGCCCATGATAACCATTTAACCCACTTCTGTGGTGTTTCAGAAGAAAAACACCTCAAATATGTTTCCAAGCTCCGGTTCACCACCTCTATTTGTCCGTCTGTCTGTGGATGGTACTTCTCTTGAGAACAGTGCCCTGCATCTTGAAAAGCTTCCTCCAAAACTGGCTGAGAAACACTTTGTCTCTATCAGACACAATCGATTTAGGAATCCCGTGTAATCTAACAACTTCCTTGATAAATACTGCCGCCACTGATACTGCAGTGTAAGGATGTCGTAGGAGGATAAAATGTGCATACTTACTAAGTCAGTCCACGGCTAAAATTACTGTGAATCCCTCTGAGAGGGGTAGGCCGTCGATAAAGTCTATGTACACTTCCTCCCAAACTCTGTTTGGAAGTGCTAATGGTTGGAGTAACCCTCTTGGTGCCATTACCATATATTTATTTTTCTGGCACACCTCACACCTTGCCACCATCTCTTTAATATCCTTATACATCCCCTTCCAGTAGAGCTCCGATGCCAGCCTCCTATATATCTTATGTACTCCTGAATGACCCCCAACTGCACTGCGCTGAAATTCTTGTAATAAGTGAGGAATGTGTACTGATGTTCGTGACATCACAAACCTCCCATGATGTAACAACCTCTCTCCCTCTAGATAGTACCCATAATGGCTACTACTATCCTTCTTCAAATCTTTCCTGATCTTCTTCAGCTCTTCATTCTTCATACTCTCTTCCTTAATGTCCCCCCCAGATAACCATCAGTGGTACTGAAACTGCCAACTCATGAAGTTCCCCAACACATCTGGATAAGGCATCAGCTGCCTTATTTTGCACCCCCGGCCGATACTGGATCTCAAAATCATAGCCTAAAAGCTTTGACAACCACCTCTGATGTTCCTCAGTCACCATCCTTTGCTCCAACAGGTATTTCAAACTCCCATGATCCGTACGAACAATGAAATGCTTACCCAAAAGATAAGGGCGCCATTTTTGAATGGCCAAGATTATGACCATCAGCTCTCTCTCGTATACTGACTTCAATCGATCCCTGGTCGATAGCACCTGACTGAAGTAGGCTACGGGCCTATGATTCTGCATCAACACTGCTCCCAAGCCATACCCTGATGCATCAGTCTTCATTATAAAGATCTGACTGAAATCTGGAAGAGCCAACACTAGGACTGTCGTCATGTCTTTCTTCAACCTCCAAAAGCCTGGGTTGTTGCCTTTCTCCACAAAAAAATGTCCTTCTTCAATTGCTCAGTCAGAGGTCAAGCGATGGTACTGTACCCCTTCACGAACCTCCTGTAGTAGTCAGTCAATCATAGGAAACCCCTCAACTCCCTTATGTTCTTAGGCATTGACCATTTCTGCATTGACTCAATCTTTGCCTGGTCGGTCGCCACTCCCTCTTGAGACACTACATATCCCAAATATTCCACCCTAGACTGGGCGAAGCTGCACTTCTTTAGGTTAGCCTTCAGCTGATGGGCATATAGAATCTTAAGAACCTCTTTTAAGTGCTCCAAATGCTCCTCTATTTGGCTGTACACCAAAATGTCATAAAAAAAACCAGTACAAACTTCCTGAGATACTGCCGGAACAGCCTATTCATCAAAGATTGAAAAGTAGTAGCAGCGTTAGTGAGCCCAAATGGCATAACCAAGAACTCATAGTTCTCCTCATGCATTCTAAAAGTCGTCTTCTGAATATCCTCCTTCATTCTGATTTAGTGGTAGCCGACTTCTGGTTCATCTTAGAAAATACTACTGCTCAGTGCAGCTCATCTATAACTCGTCGATCACCGGAATGGGGAATTTATCTAGGATTGTCTCCTTGTTCAAAGCTCTATAATCCATGCAAAACCTTCAGCTCCCATCCTTCTTTTTTATTAGTAAGTCTGGACTAGAGAAAAGACTCACACTTGGCCTGACGGTCCTGCGTCCAACATCTTTATAATCAGCTTCTCAATTTCATCCTTCTGAATTTGGGGGTAGCAGTAAGGTCGAACACTAATCGGTGACACCCCATCATTCATAAGGATTGCATGCTCCTGCTCGCTGGGTGGTGGTAAGCCCTGAGGTGGCTGGAACACGTCCCTGAACTGCTGTATGAGTGGTTGCACCAAAAGTGGAATGTCTCCCTCTTCCCCCACCCTGACCCTCTCCAAGCGTTGTAGTTCCACCAAATATCCACCTCCCACCTCCTGTATGGATCTGATCATGGATTTGAGAGATACTCGTACCCTAGACAACCCTGCATCACCCTGGATCACCATCCTCTGTTCTTTCACAATCAGTTCCATCCTCAGAGCACCACAGTTGACCTTGCTCTCCCCCATAGTCTGCAACCATTTCATCCCCAAGATGACATAGATACTCCCCAACTCTAAAGGAAGAAAGTCCCTCCTCACCTGTATCCCTTGAATGGACAATACCACTCCACTGCAAACTCCTCTCCCTATCTCCACCTTCCCCGTGCCCATCATCACTCCATATCATCCCGTGTCCAGTAATTTCACCCCTAACAGATTTACAATATGGTTAGAGATGAAATTATGGGTGGCCCCACTATCGATCAACACCACTACCTCCCGATCCCCTATTTCTCCCCTCACCTTCATGGTGTGATTTGGTGTGAATCCCACCACCAAGCTTAGAGAGACTTCAGCTACGTCCAGATTTCACTTCTCTTCTTCTTCCTCCACTATCCTGGTCTCACCTCCCTCCCCTACTGGTTTGGAAACACTCTAGTAGACAGTCCTTGAACTCTCTCCAGCTTCAAATGGTCTGCCTCATGTCTCGACATTGGTACCATGCCAATGCCTTTCCTTCCAAACACAGTCCTGCTGCGGTCAGTTTCTCCTCCTCTGTCAACCCATTGACCGCAAAGTACCGCTCCACATTGTAGATCCAGCCATGTGCATCCTCGCCCTCAAAGATTGGCATCTTCAATTTCCTCACCCTCGGGTCACCCTCGTTTCCCCTAACTCCTCCATAACCTCCCACTCCTCGAGGAGGAAAAATTCCCTAGGAGAAATTTCCTCATTAGAGAAAATGTGTGCTTGTTTCTCTTTGTAAATGGAAGGCTGCTTTTATTGAAGTACTGTTGTATGGTGAAAAAATAGTAGGAAATGGTTGGAAGAAGAAAAATGCAAAGTAGAAATAATCAATCCACCAATTACATTTGCAAAGGAATGTGTAGGGTTGGAAATTGGAGACACAATCCCCAAAGGAGAGGAAGGAGGAGCTTTAGTGAAGCAAAGAAGCATTGGAGTAAGTGGCGATGGGGTTCTAATTGAGGGATCAACCATAGATGTGCAATCGATGTGTGAGAACGGTGAGTCAATTTAGAGAGTGAGGGGAGGGGAAGCCTATATTTTGCCTAAAGAGGATAAGGACACAAGTGGCAAGGATTTGGAATAGGAAATGAGAAACTAATTTGGAGATAGAACATCGATTCACAAGTGAGAGAGAAAGCATGGGTGTAGACCTATATGTTCGAGACATTTGCAGGGAAAAGTTGTGGCAGAGGCAATGCCTCGTACACAAGTGTGGAGCGAGCCCAATGCAGGCAGTAATGGACATAGAGAGCGACAATCATGCTGAGCCAAAGGACGCAACATGAGCACCCCATACGCGTGAGCGCAGGTCTCAACTTTCTTCAAGATGAGTCTCGTGCAAGGGCACTAGGTTGGACGAGCGATGAGGTTTGGTTATGGGGAGTTGCAATGAGATGAGAATATGATATAGTGCTGAGAGAAAATGAAAGCGGATGCAGTCCCATAATGATTACTGCTCCATTATCAATTCAAGTTTTCTCTCAGAATTTGGAACTAATTCATTTTTCTTAGGATCCCTAATCTATTGTGTCTACCCTTGCTAGCCTTATATACATGGATTCTACATGTTTTGTAACAAGAGACTAGTTTTGAACTCCGATCGTGGCTATCCCCGCTTTCCCTCTTTTGGTAAAGGTATGGATTGTCATGTTGATCAACAACTTGATGATTTTGATGAGAGTATTATTAGGGATGATGTTCTGGTGGATTGGAAGTTTTGAATCCTATTTTCCAGATGAGGATGTAATCAGAGTAAAATATATCATCATTCTCTAGCTTTTACCTTGCTCGATCCAATTGAGCACTTCTCCTTTTGTTGTTTTCCCATGCTATTGGATGCGTCATCTATTCGCTTCATACTTTACTTGTTTTGCTCTTTTGTATTTTTCTATGTACCATGTCAATTCTAACTTATTGTCTTTATTGTACTCACTATTTTCTTGTCATAATATTGCGTTAAAAAAAGCTGAGCTAAACTTGATTATTTTAAGTTTGAGCGGAGAGTGACTCTCAAGCTTGATTGGTCATCATTTGTTAAACAGAAAATCAAGTAAAGGAATTTCATGATTTTACCATTCTGATCAACTTAAACACTTAAAAAAAAACTCCAAGTGATGTATTCTATTTGTATGTCTTCTTACTTTAATTCTTTGTGGATAGTGAGTTTGGGCCTCAATTGATGATATGTGATTTGTTTGGTAGTTGTTTCATGATTGAAATTTTGCAATAACTGGTCATAATCAAAGGATATAATATTTGTTCATAAGTATCTGTATGACAAGCTGAAATTTAACTTCTAGGATTTTAACCTTTCTCTTCATAAGTATCTGTAGGAGGATTAACACGGCTTCCATTTTTACAGAAGCTGATTGGTCAAGGCTTGCAAAGAGGGTCATCTGTTGCAGCAACGAGTCCTCAAATCTCTGGTTTAACTCAAAATGGGCAGTCAGCATTGGGACAAGGCAGCATTTCACAGCAACAGTGGTTAAAGCAAATGCAAGCAGGGATGCCCTCTCCAGTGTCTCCATCTTATCATGTTCAACAACAGCAGCAAAGGCAGCAGCAAGCCTTTTTACCTCAGCAGCTCTCCTCCTCTCAGCTTCATCAAAAATCCTTGGGTCTGAGCCAGCAGCACATTTCTCAACTGGTACAACAACAAGCACAGTTGGGGACTACTCAACAACATCAGGCACAGTTGCTTCAGCAGCAGCAGCAGCAGCTGCAACTGCAACAACTGCAGCAGCTTCAGCAGCATCACCAGCAGCACCAGCAGCAGCAATCTCCTAAGGTTCTAGGCTCTGCAGTTTCAAAATCTTTGAAAGGATCACAATCAGGTACTAACATGCATAGTGAAAATTCAAGCCAAGGAACAGAAGCAAGCAATCAACTTCTCGGGAAGAGAAAAATACAAGATTTAGTTTCACAGGTACTCCCAAAATTTGATGGCTTGTTTTACAATTCCTTGTTTTCTTTACATTTGATAGCAGAACGGCTTGGTTGACTCAATGTTCTTATGGTTGGTTCTGAATTACAATAATTGAATAATTAGATGGATCATTTGTCAGGCGAAAGATATGCTTTTGGGATGGCATAGTGATTCCTCATATGTGGTGTGGAGAAGATTTGCATTAAAATTAGAATTTTGTCCATTGTAAAGTGCTAAATAGTACTAGCAGTACCCCTTACTAGTGACTTAAGCTTTGGGTGAAAAGAGGGTTGGCTTCTTGTGTATTGGCTCAACTCAGGTTTTTTAGTGATCCACGCTCCTATGGTATTGAAGTAGACAGTTCGACTTGGAAATGATCAGCAAATGTTGTAGTGTCATAGTTGAACAAAGATTAAAAGCAAATGACTTTCACGGTTCTCTTTCTATTTCTTGCAATTGCGACTTGCAAATGTCCTTTTGTATTATACCTTTGTCCTAGTGCGTAGTTGCTAACCAGCTCTACCACATTCTTTGGGTTTTGTTTGGTTCATATGTTCTGATTATACCCTATGATGAGTTTTTTGGTGAAGTTCATACGCTTGAATGTGTGAACTCTTGATACTTGAACAAATGGTTAAGGCTAAAGCTTCCATTTTGGTGATGAGGCGGAGAGCTTCAGATGAAGAGGATTATCAGGTTTCCACCTGAGGGTCTAATAAAAACAGGCTAAAAAATGGTTTTGGTTTCAGATTTGGAGTAAGCGCATGTGTTTTTCTTTCACTAGTTTTGGTGGTTCCGATAATTTCTAAAATAGGTTTCAATTTGGCTTTTAGCATAAAAATAAAATACAATTATTGATTAGTAATTAAATTTTTAGAATGGAAAGAAATAAAATATTGTTTCAGAAGAGATAAAGGGTAAAATATTTTTTATAAACGAGAGAAAACAGAGATAATGCTAATAGAGGACTGGGAGGTTTCTCAGCAAGTTTAGGCAATTAGGGTTGTGAAAAAAAATGTTTGTGATGGATGTGTAAGGCAAATGTTTTTGCAAAGTAGTAAAAAACATATTCTTATGAAATAAGATTTGTGCTTCAAATTGAGATGGCACAATTTTGTATTTTGGTTTTAAGTCATGTGGAACTACGAGCCTTCGCCCTAGTATGCCTCCTACATCATCTCTATCCTTCATGCGTGATGTATGGTGATGTGAACGGAAAGTGCTGGTGCCATGCTTTAAACAAAATAGTTTCTGTCGATAACACTGAGAACTCAATAATCATGTTAAGGCAGCAACAGTGCTGACATTTTTTGGAAACATCACTGATAAGCTTGGCAATATTGAGAAATGTTTGGTGATTGATGCGATGCTGACAATAACTAATCGGTTTCTGGTATCGAGCTGCTTTTTTTTTTTAATAAGTTTTTGAAAGAAGTTAGTTCCTTCTCGCTTTTGGTTTTGGGCAAAGTTCCTAATGATCTGTTTTCATGTCTTGTTAATTTTACTCCTAGAGAAGTGTGAGTTCGTCGCCTGGGCTTTATACTTTAAGCAAAAAATGAGCCTAGGTGCCCAAATAAGAGAAAGGATGTGTGTGGTTTGTTAGGTTCTTATCAGTACTTGTTGAATATAAGTGCATATTCTTCAGTTATGTATGTAGAATGTTATGCATGTAATTACCTGGGGCTGGTCCACTGTGATCTGTTGACCGTAGTTAAAGCTTCTTCTTGGTTAGAATATAATTTAGCTTCATTTACAAAGTTTGATTTGAATACAGGTTGATTCATCAGGTAAGTTAGATCCTGAAGTTGAAGATCTTCTTTTGGAGTTAGCGGATGATTTCATTGACTCGGTAATAGCTTGTCCTTGTTTTTCATTTTTTCTTCTTTTCTGTTGTTTCTATTGCATTAAAACTATGTACAGTTATCATTGTGTATTTCAGTAAAAAACCTCTATTTCTTAATTCCATTACCTAGTCTCGTTGCTTTTCTATTTTTCAATTGTTAATATTATTGCTTAATTTGGATTTTTCCAGCAGCACATCGCAAGCTTGCTTTGTTTAGGTGTTAATTTTAAATAGCTAATAGACTGCAACTCTACTTTAGAATGAATCACATGCGGTGTGCATATAAGTTTATTTCTTTTGCCTAATTTTAAGGTTGGATTGTCTTCAGTGAAGCACAACTGCACATGCATGCATATTAGCGGAATAAATTTTTTGGTCTTTGAGGATTTAAGTATGGTAATATGAAATAAAAAACTTATGCTATGGTTAAGATGGGATACAAATTACGTGTAACTTGTATATTTTTATTACTTTTTGCTTCGGAAATATACACCTCCCCTAATCTCATCAAAATAAACCCTACCATTTACCATAAGATTAGTTGATATTATTTTTACTCATTGGACCGGAAGGGATGTAGCTCAACAGTGAAGTGTCACTTGTAGGTTTGTGAAAGTTATTAGCTTGTGCCTAATTATCCCTAAAGTATGAGTTCTTCTATTTGGATTTGCTCTTTCCTATACTTTCTCATCATATTCTATGTATCAACTGCACACAGTTCAAAATTTACTTCTAGCATCATAGAAAAAAGAGAATAAGATTATAGCTTTTTCAAATTGTTTTTGATCTGAACTTAAATACGTTAAAAAAATAGAGAAAAATGATTCATATAGCCGACCCCACATAGTGGGATAAAAGCTTGATGTTGTTGTTGCATAGTTTAAACGAAATATCTCATTTACTAAAAAAAAAAAAATCTTTTAGGAGGATTTGGATTATTTAGCTCTATTTCTCTGTTTCATAAGAATTTTCCATTTAGTAAGAAGATTCCATTATTCTATAAGATAATACTTTTGCCGTTATCATTTTTTTGGGTTTTCAAAATGATTTAGATAATTTTCTTTAGGTTTTGTTTTATAATTTTCTACTCAAAATTGATTTCAAAACTAAGGCCAAAATAAACTCATCACCAAGGAATATGTTTATGGGATTTTCTTTAAGTATCTGAAAATAGCTTTTTTCTTTTTAGTTTTCAATTTTTATCTGTTTCGTAAATCACAAACAGCCATTAAATTCAATGCATGAGAAGTATCTCTAACTAAAGATAGGCTGATTTGCTCCAAATTGATTTATTTTCGGAAAGCTTACTACAAATTTGAATTCAATAAGCATTAAATTAATATTTGCCATTGGTTATCTCATTCAATTTTTTTATAAATTTTCATGCTTGCCCAGAATCGACATGATCATGTTCTTTTTAACATTACATAATTTATGTATATTTATGGGCATGAACATGTTCTAGTCATTTTATACCATTATATATGTTCACTGCCGTACGTGTGTATCATCAATTTAAATTTGTGGCATGTCAGTGCTCCTTTTGCAAATTCTGATACCGCATAGCTTTCTTCTCTGTAGGTTACCACATTTGCCTGCCGTCTTGCGAAGCATCGTAAATCCTCAACTTTGGAGTCCAAGGATCTTTTCTTACACTTGGGTTTGTAATTCAACAGCTAACCTTGAAACTTATTTTCTTTTAAGTCTACCTTGATTTCCGTGAAAGATGCATCTGTATTTTAGCAGTCTCAAGATCAATCTTTCTTATGTTTTAAGTGCTTAGCACGCGTAATTATAAAATAGTCTAATTTTTAATGATTGCTAGACTTCTGCATAAATTATCTATATCTTTGTTTAAAATAGAATCCTTTGCTGTTATCATAATTGCTTATTTTCCGTAGTATAGGAATCGTGTTTATTGCTTCATATGAACTGAAGTGGCTAACTATTTATCATAAAAATTTAAGGTTTATTGATTGGTAAATCTAATGGAGGTAACAATGTGCAGAGAAAAACTGGCATCTGGCAATTCCAGGATTTTTACGGGAGGAGCAGAGGAACCAAAAAGTTATTGTAAGACTTTCCTTCAAAGATTTTAAAACTTATTGTGCTTCTGTCTTCTTATGCCCGCATAACTTCATACCTGTCTCCTGATTGATATGCCAATCATTGATTATTCAAAAAACTACTGTTAATTGAGTTTTTACACCTCAATTGAAATTCCAGCTGTGGCAAATTTTGACTTGAAGTTGGATCCTTATAACATCAATAACTAAACATTACAGAAGCAAAAGATAGAGGAAAGAGATATCCAAAGTCAAGATAATCCAAACCTCATGTGGTATAAGGAAATAACCTATCCCATATGTGCCTGCATCACATTCAAAGGAATCCACATCTAACAAAAACTCACAAGATTAACCATAAAAATTTAAATCTTATGGATCGAAAGCTAATTAATTTACTTGCCAAAGGTAACTATTTATAAATACCTTTCTTTGAACACCAAATGTTCAAAGAGATGTTCGGAAGGTTGCAACCCCTAAGTTGCACCTTCCTCTCTTCTCTACAAACTTCTACAACCTTCTCCCTTGGTAAGTTGATATAATTGATATGAAATTAGTTCAAGTTCAAGTCTCATTTATTCAAGTGGCCTACACGACACATCCAAATCCAAAATCAAAGCATACGTGAAAGAGTATAACGATGTCTTGAAATTTGTGTGTGGGAGTGGTTGTAAGAATTAGAGATGGGAAACACCCTTACGTGTGGAAGCTCTTAACTTTATCTCAGAGATAAGAGGAACCACAAGTTTGCAGAAGATAACAGGAAGCCATGGTGAAAATATGACCACACATTTGAACTATAAATCATGAAATCCATGATGAAGTTAAAAATCACTTGAAATAGATATTCCAAAGGAAGCAAAGCTTAAATAAAGGTGCATATCCATGGAACTCTATATCCACCATATGGATTAAATGTTTCATAGACTTGAACTCTGAATCAACTTGTGGCTATGCCAAACCACATAAACAACATAATAATAGACAATCAAATTACGAAGAACACACCCAATTCTCATGAGCATTAGTCATATGCATGCTTAATTGAATTTTAAAATCAAACAACTAAATATAAATTTGCTCAAGTCAATTATTCAATCTACATTTTTATCTACTATAAACATGCAGATCTCTATCAAATCTATGTTGACATTTACCAAATCTCAAAATAAAATAATCAGCTCAAATAAAAAAAAATAAGATACCTTACCTCATATCTCTGCCACGGATCATACCCATACCCTAAGCAGACCCGCCGCCTGCTACAGTGATGATTCATTGTACAATTCGGTGCTGAAGACGTCCTCTCACGCATGCGAGAGACTTGCCTTAATCGCTACCCACCCTCATCGTTAAATACCAGAGCAAACGAAGCCTTTGGCTCCATTTCTCTCCGTATCTCTTCTTGCTCTCATCCCCGACTTTACGCAAAACTCACTGTAGCTTCCTCCTGCTCCTTCGACCACCGAACCGAGACCTCCCTTCCTCCCTCTCTACCTAGGCGACCGAACTCCTCCATTCCGCGAGCAGGAGGCACTGAATCCCGAACCCCTTCCTTGACTTGCGAGCCCAGGACGACGACAACCCTCAGCCGAAGCCATCCCCTCTTCCGAAGCCTTCCCAGACCGATGCATACTCCACGACACATCCGACTTCCTTTTACCTAGAGAGAGAGAGAGATCTTCCTCCACTCTAACCTTGTTGTATATCCTTGTGCCCGAAGACCTACCCGAGCTGCTCCCTCTTCCACCTGCAAGCTCCAACCGATATCCCTCTCTACCCATCCGCAAGCCCAGTCGCCTCTTTGCCCGATCTTAATAGAGGTAGTGATTAAGTTTATTAGTATTATTTTTATTAATATTATGATTTTTAATATTAGTTATTAATAATATTAATATTACTAATATATATATATATGTGTGTGTGTGTGTGTGTGTGTGTGGGAGAATGAAAAAAAAAGAGAGGGAAAGAATTATTTTCGTATATTTTTGCCACCCGTCGTCGCCATCACCTCGCCAACCACCATGGTATAACTTCCTTAACTCAGGTTCTCATTTTCGGCATTTGCGGCGGACCGGCAAACCCCCTTTACTCGCTCTCGTAGCACTGTGGGAGGAAACCCGGTTCGGCGCCTACGACGAGGCGGGTAATCACCTAAAATCCAATTTTCGACATTTGCGCGAGCCTGAGAACCACCTATACGTGCTCTCATAGCACGGTAGGAGGGAGTTCGGTGTGACGCATACGGCAAGGTGGGTAAGACCTGTAGCGTGGTGGGGATGTTACTTAAGTACATGTACATGCCCTTGTGATGTGGCATGGAAAGCCACCTGTGTTCTCGTATGGATACTTTTGAAGACCCCATACACGCTCTCGTAGCGTGGTGGGATGAAAAGATGTACGGCCCGGTATCCCCCGACGCCTATCATACACGCTTGAGTAGCGTGGTGGGATGTCCCAGTTTCTCATAGTTTCCCCTAAACGGCGGAAAAGTCGGGAGTCTGTCGAAATTTTCAGTAACGCGGGGGACTTGAACTTAAACTTGCACTGTGGACTAAAGCTTAAACTCAACATTGATTAAGAAGAGATAATTTGGAACAATAATAAGGACTTGGACTTGAATGAACTAAGATGAACTCAAATGAATTAAATCCAAACTTGAACAAAATGAAGAACTCATAATTCAATCTGATAACAATGACTTGCAAATTCAAACTTGATTTGAACTTGAACTTAATCGAACAAGGCTGCAGTGGACATGAACTCGAACCAGATTGAACACAAGGGACTCGTGGACATTGGACTGGAACTTAACCACATCGAGTGTAACTTGAATCATTACAAGGGACCTATGAACTTGAACACATCTCGGACTTGAATGGAACAGTGCATTGAACTTGCCTTAAATATGACATAAACAAAAAATTTAAATCAAAGTTGACCAAATGAAATGAGCTAAACAAGACCACTTGAACTTGTACTGTGGACTCAAGTTGAACACTAATGGCTTGAACAATTTGAATGCCAATAAAACATTTGCAAGTGTACAATAGAGAGCTTGTGAACCCGAGCTTGAACCTTAATTAGATAATCGAATTTAATGGATGCATAATTACCTCAATATCAATCATTGAATTTGATTATGCAAGTGTAGATCAATGAATGGCTGAGGAACATTCATTGAAATTCCAAATAGAAGTGAATTGTTGATTCATTCACAAGCAACAATGCAAGCTCTCAATGATATTAAGAGGCCATATACAAGAAACATAGTGTGCTTACAAGTGACAGCGAAAAGGTTGTAGTGAATACAAACTCACATGGTGCTAGAAGTTCTGTAATTGTATATCGCTGCATTCACAAATAAGAGAACGAACCATTATGTACACCACAACCTGCTTATGACCAATATTTGTCAATTTACAATCCATCAATGCATGATATCAAGTGGCATACAACGAGCACAAAAGGCATATGATGATTATGATAATGCTTTATGGGCAATATCAAAACAAAGGCAACTGTGTTCGATCCTTGCAGTCACCACGGTGTAGTGTTTAGCAAATATATCAATTCATTGCAAGCAAGAATATATGGGCATATAGCAAATGCAAGTGCCCTTCAACCTCTTATAAGATACCCATCATAAACATTAAATGACATCTATGAACAAAATGACAGATGATCACAATGAATATAGATGCCTACGAACTATTGGAAAAGGTCTGTTATACATTTAGCATGTTGTCTATGGGTAGATGTGAAAGACTCCTTGCAGATATTGAGGATAAGGAGTAATGAGCTTTGTGAATGAAGATATATACACATGATGTTACTTATAATCAAAATGCAGAAGAGTCAAAGTGAAAGAAAACACTAGTAGAATGTATGAAAAATGTGTATTTAATGCAACTCATTTAACCTACTAATTTGCAAGCAAACACCGTAGACTCGTTGCAAGTCCTCAACAAGTAAATATAGTCATTATGTAGCAGATGCACAGCTTGCCCGTATTTGATAGTTGAAGAATTGTTGCATATACAATAGGATACCCACTGATGACAATCAACTTGTGGATGGATACAATAGCCATCTACAAATACTAAAAGTCAACACATGATGAGCAAGGAGATTTCTTAGGAGTGCAATTCTAAATGATCACAATAAATGTGAACTCCTATGAGCTACTGTAGGAGGTTCGTTATACATCATATATGTCGCCTACAAGCAAAATGCAAGAGAACCACAACAAATACAAGCACTTATGGGTTAAAGCAGGAGATTCGTTAGTGCACAACAAGCTACCTACAGAAAGCAACAAGTAGTGCACGACAGTCTAATTGTACAAAACATACGGATAATCAGTACAACAACACGCCACCAGATCTGTAACATTCATGCAAGCGGATAGAAGACGTTTGCAAACGTTTCAAAAATGTCCTCGTACATGCACTGTAATATGTATGCACATAGATACACTAAAGCGGTAAATACAATCACACCCACATGGGCCCCGACGAGCATGTTATTATTACACGCGTGACGTCTAGGGATGTTGCGCGGGTTAATAAGTGAATTCAAGTTTGAACCCGATCATTCTATGTGGATCAATAGGAGTCGACAAGGTTCGAACCATCAAACAAATATACGATTGTGGGGTCTGGTATATTTGTCTTGATACATTCATATTAAGCCTTCAAGGCCTATAATAATAAGAATTCACTAATAAATGCACAAAGCCTATGATGAACCCGATCCTCTATTGGCAAACTGACCGAGTCGACAGGGTTCAATTAATAAATGGAAATGACCCCAAACACCCTAATAATGGTCTTGTTGAATGTAGATCTCAACCGGATGGGTTAATTCCAAATATTTAAAATTCTACCAAAATGCCCACAAAAATTCAATATCTCCAAAAATCCCAAAATTCCAAATGCTTAAAATTGAAATAATCCATCAAACTACTTAAAGCAAAATTCATCCACCCTCCGCAATAGTTTTCCAGGGTGGACAAATTGATATTTACTTCAGCTCACATAGAGCTAATGTCTAGTCGAAAATATCACTAGGATCCATTCTCAAATAATCTCTTGCCAGTAAGGACGTGGTATGTGTCATCTAATCGGTGGTTTTGCCTCCAAATGACACCGCAGAATAAATGTTTATGGCCAGAGCCAATACGTCTCTTAATGATATCAAATCCTTGAGATATGAATCAATAGGATATAATCGATAAGGAACAAAGCCCTCTGTTAACTAAGGTGGATTCAAATTTGTCCCTTTAGACAAACATCCACCCCAGGTCTACAAGGTCCCCTTGGACGAAGCAACCTATGGCTGCCGACAAGTATATTTCTGTCATGTTGGATCGACTACCTCCTCTAACTAAGTAGACCATGGACCACGATTGCCCAGGACAACGGAACCATGAGATCTTGATCGGGTCCATCATCCATTCCCCCACCATCTGCTTCAAGTGCAAGATGGTGAAATTTCTAATTTTAAATATCAAATTTTCAAATCTTCAAACTTTCCAAATACCCATGCCAATGCTGCTACTATATGTCAGATAACACGTATATTCTACGTATCTGATTGACGACTAGCTTTAATCGAAAGTTCTCTCTCGTTATCGGGAGGGGTAATTAACTATAGGGGCTTGCGCCTATAGGAAACCAGAACTCAGATCATAAAGTCCTCGCAAAATGAGGGCGAAATATCTACGTAGTGTCTTATCTACAAACCCATTTGCCTTTCCAAAATTTACCCCGGAACTTAAATTTGTTAAAACTCGCCTGAAGAGAAAAAAACAACAGCGGACGGAGGCCGGGGCCGAATTTTCGGAGCCCACAATCTATCAAGCTTGGACATGTGGCTTTGATGAATTTAATATTTGTTATTCATCAAGCAAATTAGCACATAAATTTTGCACTTCTTACAAGTTATATTTGAAATACACCATAAACAGTGGATAATATTTTATTATTTAAAATAGCTTCAAGAATAAGTTGTGTACATTTTCCTAACAAAGTGTTGAATGTAAATTTATAAGGAGGAGATGACAAAAGAGAATAATCTAATGAATTGACAACGAGATCTTGAAATAAGGTCAAATCTTACACATTAAAGACTTGATTAATGCCATAACTTCATGAAATTTCTAATTTATAGTTCCAATGTGCTTTAAATTTAAGTGATATTGCCTTTTTATTCCATTCAAAATTTTAAACATTTTTGAAGGAAGCCTTTCTAAAGTCTAACATACCATTACTTTATACCTAGCTCCAATGTCACTTGTGGAGTTGGAATTGACTTCATAAGTATGGTAAAGAAATACTGTATAGCCTAGGGAAGCATTAAAGTTAAACGGCCTTAAATAAATATAATAATGATGTTTAAAAGATTATTTTTGGAAACACTAATGAAAAAATTGATCGGAATGAATGGCATGTCAACCGAGGCACATGTTCAGTATAACATAGGGCATATGGTCTAGTAGCTTAATCTAAGCTAAAAAAATTTATAAATAAGGTTGCTTTTTCAAAATATTAACCTTAGTTAACATAAGGCGTAGGTTATGATCTGATATTTTGAGGCTTGAAGTAGTTTGTTTGAACCATTTTTTGAAAATTTATATATCGGCTTACTTGGTCAGGCAATAAATTATCCATTATTTCACAGAACAATTTTTCAATTTAATATTTTAAACTTAGTCTTCAATTTGAAAATTTTCTAATCAAGTTGAATCTCAAAGAAAGAATATTCAACCAGAAATAACTTACTGAATTATTCAATCTACTATCAAATAAAAGGCTCTAAATTGGTGGCGTAAAGCTCATTGGTTGAACTCTTTCCTCATATTCGATCTTATTTTCTTTAGTAAAAAATTCTGCCAGCAGATAGTTTCATCATGATATTAATCACGCAAATGTTATGCCCTTGGGATATGTACCTCAATTTTCTGTGGAAGTCTATTTGGAGTTGGATATTTGATTTTTCCTGATTGTAATTCTAGTACGTATTTTTTGTTTGACTCGTTATTTTCACCAAATGAACCACATGCTATATTGGATATGGATCATTAAATGTACTTATCTATTGGCTCCTGATTTTATCCTCATATTGGAACTTTCTATGTCACTATCAATATTCAATACTTATGACTTTGACGTGATCTTTAAACTTCACATTGCTTCTTTGTTTCTCCGGATATCTTCCAAAATAATGGAGCTTGTTTACCTCCATCTATCTGTAGAAACATCATCGTCTGGAACTTTAATGTTTGCATAGGCTTCTGATAAATCTTTATTCCTACAAATAAGAAAGGGATAGTTTACAATTTACTTCTGTTTCTTATTGATATGATTGTTCTATGACTGCAGGCTCCAATCGATGTGCACAAAAAACGGCTTGAACTGGTAATCAGGAAACATATTGAGTTTCATTCCCCTTTAGATTCTATTTCAGTTTAAGTTGGTAGCTAAACATTGACCATTCTGCAATTCAAATTACTATTAAGACTTGATGCCCCGCTACTCTTTTTCGAAATTACAAAGGATTTCAAAATGCTTGTTTGAAAATTAACAGATTTGCTCGCTCATCTAAGAATTTCTAATGTGGGATGGTCATTTCTTTGCTAAAACCATGCTCATCCAAAGCTATATTTTATAAGAGGGCTATAACATACATTTTGAATTTCCTGCCCTCTCAATGGAAGTGAACAAAATAGGCAGATTTGATGGTTTGATAAAGAGTTATTACCTTATGCATTGACAAAGGAAAATTGCATCAGGTGAGGGCATTGATGGAGTCGCAACAGTTGGAAAGAGATCCAGCCATTGGAAAAGTCACATTTAAACAGGCTGGAAGCAATTCATCCATGGATCGGATGATAAAATCTTCACCTCCTTCAGAGTTGCCGTCCATTCCTGCAAATAGCTCCCATGTTTTGCAGAAAATACCACGATTTTAGTAATTCTTCATCTTGGAATGCTACTCCTCCATTGCGTTCTGTTCTGGTGAAAATTGGTGAGTAAAAACCTTTATTGGATTTGTGCATGATTGTTCTTTGTCACTTAAATTAACTAGAAACAAATTAAGCAGGGAGTTGAGTTATAGTCTCGGAGATAGGGGCGGATCCAGCCTTAATTTTCAGGGGGGGATTGTCCAAAAAGTGTTGAGATTTTTTTTTTGTTCTGAAGTCGGCTCGATTCCTATATGTTCATATCCTTGATCGTGTACGTGTTGCAAGATATGTCGGGGGGGGGGGGGGGTCCAAGGGGGCAACGCCATTGGGTCGGGTCGGCCATAGTATTTTAAAACTTTTAGGGAGGGCAATTGCCTACAAATCCATGTAATAAAGATTAAAAAGTAGATGTAGTGGAACAAATTACCTAAATAATCATATAATAATTTTTTTTTAAAATTTTCCCCTCGGCATAAGGTGGATCTGCTCTTGCCTGTAGATGAACGTAGTCAAAAATTTCATCTAGGAAGTTCTCCAAATTCCAAAATATGTCCTGATTTGAAGTTGTACCCAAATGTAGTGCTTGACTGGAATGAATGACATAGAAGCATTCATGATGCCAATATTTTGAGAGCTTGAATTGCTAGGATGAACATTATCTGTTGCTTCTTATATTCTTTTTTAGAATACAGTCCATTACTGCTCGTCTACATCTCATAAACTAATTTTCATGGTAATTACAGATGGGAAAAAAGCTCAACCACCTCATTTCTGGAAGCTGTAATTTTATTCATTCGTGGATGGAAATGTTCTTGGCTGTTCAATAGCATCACTAGCCTATCAGGTTGGCATGTTCAGCTGTTTTGGTGTAAATAAATAGGAATTGAGTGTAGTGGGTAAATACTAGCCTTCTTCATATCCGCTCAAGGATGTCTGCATTGTAATCAGTAACAGCTGCAGTGTCCTTCAGATCATTGGTGCATAGAGCTGTTAGGTTATAAAAAATTGAACAGACAACTTTGGCAATCCACTTCAGCTTGTTTATGTGTGTATGTATAATGGTGTTATGAAATTTTTATTCTACAGATGATGAATTTTCATCCAGCTTTCTCAGAAGCTTTACTCTGTGCTGTTTCCTTGTCGGCGATTTCAGGCATCTGTTGTGTCGTCATGCTACAGCTTGGTAGTTAATCTTCTTCGCAAAACTTTATTTTTGTGTGTGTAGCTGTGTCAAAAATGGACCCAATTGAAACATTAATATGTTTGATAAATTTAATACATTATTAATCAATAAATAAGTAGATTGTTATTTTATATAAAATATAATTTAATTTACTTAATTAGAGTTTCAAAATTAAGTTCAAATTTAATTGATTTCAAAAAAAAATTTATTCAACCTTAATTCTTGAACATAATATTGATGGGAAAAATATTGAGTATTTAATGAGTAATAAGAAAGAATTATTTCTATATTTATTTTTTGGGAATAGTTCTGATCTTTAATATAACATTGTTATTGTTAGGTTTCAAGTCCGAGATGAGAAAGTAGATGATAACATTAGGTAGTCGACAATCAGCATAAAATATATTGAATAATTATGACATGAATCCTTTAATACATTGTGTTAATGCTAGAGCACTTTCTGAAAGCGACATGCTATATGACTTAAATACTATGACAAGTGTGCAAGAGCCACTGCAGCAAAACTCGGGTGCAGTGTTAAATAAACAAGAGTTCTCACATCAAGGATAAATGTGGGCAATGAAGCCAATTGATGAAATTAAAACTAGGATATAAATTTTGAATATAGGTTCTCTTACAGAAAAATTAATGGAATTAATATATATTATGATTCATATGAAGATAAATATTATATGCATTCAATAAAATAAATGAGATGGAGAGAATGTTAAGGAGTGATAATTTATGATTTAAATTATGGTATTATGTTAAAAAGTTTTATTAGAAATAGTGCATGTGTGATTATAAATAAAATTTTAAAGAATAATGCTATAAAATTAATGGAATTTGGGATAGAATTATAACTTCAAAGATTGTTATTGATGCTAAGATTATTAATATTATAAGTATTTATACTTTTCAAGCAAGTTTAGATATGGGTTCAAAACTAAAATTTTGGAATGACTTAGAAGAATTATGTTGGTAGAGAGGTAGATGATTTTAAAAGTATTCATGTTGGCTATAGATTTAGAGCGACTAATAAAGGTCATAAGATCATATTAGATTTTTTTAGCTTATGATTTTTTAAGTGCTAATATCATATTTAAGAAAAGAGAGAGCATCTAATAACTTATAAGAATGAATATATTAAAACTAAGATTGATTATTTTCTTATAATAAAAATAGATCGTTTAGATTGCAAATATTATAAAGTTATTTTGAGTGAAAGTTTATGTACGCAATATCGCTTATTAGTTTTAAATTTTAAGATGAAGGGATAAATAAAAATAATTAAAGTTAAACATTATTTTAGGATTAGATGGGTGCTTTTAAAGAATGTTAATAAAAATATTTTTAAGAGTAAGATACTCAATCTTAAGATTTTGTCTGTGCATGATGCATCTAATATTATGTGGGAAAAAGTAGCTAAAATATTAAAAATATTATAAATGATGTATTTGCAGTATCAAAGAAAAATGCTCATAATAGTAAAAATAGTTGGTGGTTAAATCAAAATGTACCAGAAAAATATAAAAAATAAGAAGATTTTTTTTTTTTTATAAAAATTAGTTTAGATATAATAATTATGATAATTAGGAAAGATATAAAGAGGCCCATAAGAAGTAAGAAATTAATATGCAATGCAATATTTTACCTTTTAATGATTTATATAATAAATTAGATACTAAGGAGGGCGATATGTATATATATACATAAGTTAGATAAACAAATAGAAAAGAGTATGAATGATTTAGTTTAAGTGAAGTGTATTAAGGATGAAGATAAAAAAGTACCTTTATCATAAGATAATAACAAAGGTTCATGAGATATTTTTTTAGTTTTTCAATAAAGATTGTGAGAATACGATTGACTTAAGTGACCTTAACAAGCTAAATGAAAATAAAAAAAATTTATTTTTATCGGCGTATCAGTAAAATCAAAGTTATAGATGCTTTAAAAATATGAAATTTGGAAAAGTTGTTGGACATGATGATATTACCATAGAGGTGTGGAAATGCTTAGGAGATGAAGGAGTTTCTTAAAAGTTCAATAAGGATGTTAGGCCTAAGTGAACTTATCCCTAGGCAGTAGGCACATCAAGAGGAGGGTGGATTTGTGAACTTAAAAAAAAAATTTGCTTACTTAAAAAAAAAAAAAATAAGGATGATATTTTTGAATTTTCTTAGTTATTTAAAATAACAATTTTTACTAAATGCGGAAGAGAATAATTTTATCAAATGTTAAACTAATGATGATGATATTCTAATAATTAGAATGATTATTAATCATTGATTTTTACCAAGTAGTTATCAAAAAAATAAAGTACAGAAAAAATAAAATGTTAAAGTAAAATATTAAAACAAAAACACTAGAGATTTATATTGGTTCAATCATACAATGACCTACATTCACTCCCTGGAATCCTCCACTCAGAGTATTGCACTATCACTTTGATGTCTCTCCTTTTGCTCCCACAATAAGGTGGAGAAGCCCTTACACAACTCACTTCCACTAACCTGGTGCGATGGAAAACCATAATACTTGTCACTCTCCTCGTGATGGAAGTAGACCTTTAATCTTTTTCTCCCTCCTAGAGAAGGCAAAGAACCTCAATATCTTGTATCACCCTCATTGTGTTATGGATGTTCTCACTAGACATTTATTAGAGGTTGTACCCCGATGTATGCTTTTTGCTAATGATATTCTTCTTATTGATAAGACTAGAGAGGAGTTGAAGGTAAACTTGAATTATGAAGGTCATCCTTAGAGTCTAAAGATTTTTGTTTGAGTATATCTAAAATTGAATATATGGAGTGTAATTTTAGTAATAATAAATCTAATTGAAGGATTGTGACTTTGGGTGATCAAGTCATTAATAAGAGCACATGTTTTTGATATCTTGGGTCTATTGTTTAGAGTGATAGTGACATAGATGGAGATATTATTAGTATGATTTAAGTTGGATGGTTGAAGTGGAGGAATGCATCGGGCTTGTTCTGTGATAGAAAAGTCCCCCTCAAATTTAAGAAAAATTCTATAAGATGGTGGTTAGACCTGCAATGCTTTATGGTGTAGAATGTTGGCTATTAAAAGAAAAGCATGATATTAAGTTAAGTGTTTCAGAGATGAGGATGCTCAGGTGGATGAGTGGCTTTACTCTTAAAGATAGGATACAAAATGAGCATATACGTGAAAGGTTGGAGTAGCTCTAATGAAAGATAAGATTAGTGAGAGTTGCCTTAGATGGTTTGGTCACATAAAACGGTGGCCTTCCGATGACCCGATCAGGAAAGTAGATGTATTAAATTTGACTTATATTAAGAAAGATAGAGGTAGACTTAAAAAAGACTTGGTTAAAAATATTAGAAATGACATTTCTTTATTAAATTTAAATGAAGGTGTCTCGTGGTAGGGGTCGTGGAAGGGGCCGTGACAGGGGCTGTCGAAGGCGTTGATGACTTGCTGTTTTGTGTTACTACTGCTATGTTCTTCGATTTATGGCTTTCGATGTCCTCGTCGATTTTTCCGTTTTGTTCTGGGGCTATGATGTGGCCGGGGCTCGTGCCCTATCTTTTTGCTGGCAGCAACCTTTGGTGCATTTCTTTGTGGATCGTATACTGGAAGCTTTTATCACCTTACTGGATGGCCCGTGCGAGCTGGTGAGGCACTGGTAGTCTCGGCCAAATACTGAGCCCAACTACCTACTATCAACTTCCTTCTATTAATGTATTTCATCTTTTTATTTTCTGTTTTGACTACTTGGTGTAACCTCTCCTTTCATCAATAAAATGGTTTTGTTTAAAAACAAAAAATATTTGATATATCATCTAATAAAATCTCATGATCAGATAGGAATCTCAAGGCAAATTTTGAATGAAAACTTCATAATTTAATCTGAGGCCATCAAAACTCTGATTTCAGCAAACTTATAGTCGAACTAAACGTCTCAACATACCAACCCAATGACACCAAATTTAATCCAATCCGAGCCCAAATGGGTTCAAATTAAGGACTTGAAGCGTATTTGGAAGTTTTAAACCATAAATTGAATTATCAAATAATTTTCAAATGTAACATGCTTATAGTCGAATCATGCAACTCGACGAGACGAATCTAATAAGCCCAGTATCGCGAATTCTGACATCATTAAGGAACTCAAATGCCCCATAAATTATTTATGGTACGTCAAGGGAATCAATATCTTTGAACCATTAAAATAAAGAATTATGGCTGCAAATCATAGAGCATCATTACTATGTTTTAAGTTTTGAGATATTTGAAAACAAAAAGATTATAAGAAGAGAGACTTTTGAGAGGCTCCTATTAAAGAGTTTTGATTCATATATATATATATATATATATATATATATATATACATAAGTTAAATAAACAAATAAGAGTATGCATGATTTAGTTTAAGTGAAGTGTATTAAGGAGAAGATCAAAAAGTACTTTTATTATAAGATAATAACAAAGGTGAATGAGATATTTTCTAAGTTTTTCAATAAAGATTGTGAGAATGCGATTGACTTAAGTGACCATAACACGCTAAATGAAAATATATTTTTTTTATTTTTATCGGCGTATTAGTAAAATCGAAGTTAGAGAGGTTTTAAAAATATGAAATTTAGAAAAGCTGTTGGACATGATGATATTACCATAGAGGTGTGGAAATGCTTAGGAGATGAAGGAGTTTCTTGAAAGTTCAATAAGGATGTTTGGCCTAAGTGAACTTATCCCTAGGCACATCAAGAGGAGGGTGAATTGGTGAACTTTTAAAAAAAATTGCTTACTTAAAAAAAAAAAACAAAGGTGATATTTCTGAACTTTTTTAGTTATTTAAAATAACAATTTTTACTAAACGCGAAAGAGAATAATTTTATCAAATATTAAACTAATGATAATGATATTCTTATCATTAGAATGAAGTATTAATCACTGA